TTTGATGATTTTCCCCCTTAAAAAAACCCCTATGGTCAACCCCAAAAAAATAGCACAGAGTTTGAATATATAAAATATTTTAGCAGTTTATTTGCAATCAGGTTTTGGTTTATGCTTATAATACGAAACACATTCTGAAACAAAACCACTTCACAAATCTGCTGAACCAATTTTTCACGACCACAAATGCTGACGCAAATCCTTCCAGTACCTACATGGCACATACGACCGTAATGATACATAATATAAGGGCGGAAATGTACTGCATCGGATGTGTGCCTACTACAGACGATATAGTTACGGACACGAGCACATCAAACTACCCTAACCTATGCCATTTCCCTAATCTAATTACAACTTTATCGTTTTGGGATAAGGCTGAAGTTCTATTGTCATTTGCAATTGTGGTGTAGCTCGATGTGAGCTACATCAGTATATCTTGTTGCTAGTCCTTAAGGTAGGCCATTTCCAACCGAGTAAGCCAGCCATTGAACCATTCCGTTGTCGCTACACATGTTTATACGCGTATTACGATGATAATACTGAGCAAATAAGCTGTAGAAGTATTATTCTGAATACAGAGAAAAATCGAATACAAAAAAGAAATATTATAAAAAAATGCTGATAAACTTGAGCCTACTTTGTAGTAGTTCTCTATCGACATTAAGGTATCACGGAATTAATATTTTAAAATAAAAGTTACACTGGCTTGTACTAAAGTAAAAGTCGCTTAAAAAGCTTACATCAAGTAAATCCACTAATCATATTAAAGTTCGATAATAAACATAATAAGCCTCCAATATGTCACCTGTTACTGACTAGCAAACGAACTCAGAGAAAATTGTTCAAAGACACCGAAAAAAAATATTTGATAAACAATATTCCACCAGCGAAATATTCACCAGCCCATAAAATTCCAATAATCGTACCGAAAGCAAAACAAAAATAATTCCCACCTACATTCTCGGTCCACTGATCAAACTCAAGCGTTTCCTTTACAGATGAAATAAAGCCGTGATCGCATGGACGACGCTAACGTTCCGGGCCGTCGCGGCCGCCGGACGACACCCGTTCCCCGTTTGGCACATTCCTTATCTATACCGGTGAGATTTGAATAGGGCGACAGTGAGGGAGGTACATAATAGCTATTGAGTAAGACATGCATTCTACGTTGATGTTTGCATTATTTTGCGTGTCAAGGGTGTTCTAGTTAGGTACGGTGTAAAGGTTGACGAATGTGTGGTTTTCAAAGGTGAATTCGGTAATGAATGAAAGGGAATTCACAAGAGATGCCTATTGTGAATGAAGGTAAGCACAAATGAGAAAGAGCACGATGACGGTGATGATTATAAAAATGTTTCGTTACGTAGACTAAAGTCCGAAGTAATCTTCGAAAAATATTTTTAATGAATATAAAATCAACGATTCAGGATAGTTACCATATTATTTTTTTTTATTTATTTAAAGTTATTTGTCAAAGTCAAAGTCATAGTCAAAGCATTTATTTCAATTAAACCATAGTTTGGTACTTTTGAAACGTCAACAAATACAAAATAAATAATAGTCTGTCAGTCAGTCCGTCAGTGAAGCTAGGTGAAGCTAGGTGCTCATTCCAAAACGTAGATTCGAATGGAGAAGAACGAGCAAAAAACTCCATTCGTTACTCTTTTAAAAAAGTATGTTCTACAATGTCTCTGATACATATTTCAATACTGTACGCATATGTAAGAACAATGCAAAGACACGCTTGACGCATTATACTACTAACTTAATAAAATAAAAATAAAAATAATAAAGATCTTAAGTCCAACATGGTGCTCACATATGCATACTGACAATCCATAGAAATAGTGTTCCCGGATACCTCAAAAAATCTATAACATTTCACAACATAATCATATTAAACAAAAATAAATATGTTCAACATGTTTAATTACATTTTCTCAAATACATATTTGTGGCTACATAATCATTAGTTTTACGTACAGTTTTGTTGCAGACGCACTGAGGTTCGGTAGCAAGATCTGACCACACAACTCAGACAATAATAGCAGCCTTCAATAGCAAGCCTTTAAGATGAATTCTACGGAGACCAGCCTCGACGTCAACCGGTCCACACCGATTTATACAATCGGTACCAGCTTTATAACACAATGGTACGTATATACAAACATACCTTGATTGAAAGTTTAAAACAGAATTCTCTCTTCTTTGTTACTTCTGGTCAATTTGAAATTTTACGATGTCACCTAACAGTATAATACGTTGACTTTCAAAAGTGCCTTCCTGGTGTAATTGAAATAAATGATTTTGACTTTTATAATGATAATTATATTGAGAACGTTCTAATACTCAATCGATTATTAAAAAAATCAATAAAGCATCACGAGTTCACAAGGTCAACAGAACTTTCGAATAAAATTTTGATAGCCATTGTAAATACGGCTATAGGCTTCTGATACACTTTAGTCTATCGAATTGAGTACCACTTAAACCACGTGAATGTTTCGGTAACTGCCAACCAGTTACAGACGAAGCCTGCTCATGAAATCTTCACGCGGCATGGCGCACGTGCTCCTCAATAGAACTGCGTGGGGACACAATAATAAAACCATTCCTACGTTTTTATTTTATAACATTGCCATCAGTGGATGTATTAGACTCTAGCAGAATTATTAAGGAGCTCAAAATATTACAGTGCTTGGTCTGTAAAATAACTTGTTGCTACCTGTTTTTTACTAAGATTAAACAGCATTTTTTAGAAGATTAAGTTTTTCTTCACTATGCTACTAAACAGTCCCAAAGTGTATTAAGTAAATAAGATTCTTTTACCATACAAACCAGACCGTGCTGATTTTCTAATATTATTTTTTTTTAATTCAAGGTCCAAATGCACTTTGTTTTGACATGCCAGAATTTTATTAAACTGGATAATTCACTCCATACATGAAGGCAAACATGCAAGTACATTGCTGTGCAGATCCAGATTTATCAGTAACATTATATTTGTAGCCAACATAACAGACCAACAGGATAGTTTCGGACCAATTTATCTAACATTACCGGCTTCTTTTGGAGACTTGCAGTCACAAAAAGAAAATATACTACCTTTATGTCCATAAAACAAACAAATGCTCCCACTATGACCCATTAGACATTCCGAATGCTTCACGATGTTGTATGTAGTTGCACTAAATTCAGTTTCTACGTGAATTATAAAACACAATAGTAGAGTTGTGCTGAAATATCTGTAACTCTGAACTTGATGCTATATTGTATTCATGAAGAAAAGGTTTGGTGGGTAAAATTTTGTTGTTTATATTCTTATAATGTACTAAAGCTACGTGCAATGGGCTTTTTTGCTGTAGAACTCCAAGTTTATTTTTTACTTGGGTTGAAATTTTTACTTATATTCAGACCAGTGTTTATAAATAATGATACTTTCTTGATAGTGCAGATACAACTGTTGACCATGGACCCAATTTGTGTATTTGATGAAATAGAAACAAATATTTCTTCATTCATTCATTCATGAGAGAAAAATTCGGATCTTTCTTTTTTATGGTTGGATTAAAATCGCTCCTCACCTTCAAAGATTGTGAGCGAATGACTGACGACTCGTAAGCAAGTATCGATTCACAATTATAATACCTACACATTGTGCACCAACGTGTTTCGTATAGTCACGTAGGTTTCCACGAAAATGACTTGCTATAATACTCTTCAAATAAAAGGCCTTTTTCAGAAGGTCGATAATACTGTTTACTATGAGTTCTGAGTCAGCAAGAAAATGGAATAAGATTATTAAATTTGAATACTTGGATGTACGCTATTTTCAGCTCGATATTCAAATACTGAAAAACTAAGTACATCTGCTAAAAATGTAATCAAAAGATTTTTTATGATATAATCTGTCATCTCTATTACATAACATAATATAACATCACGCCTTTTTATCCCCGAAGGGGTAGGCATAGGCGCACATTTCGGTACTTAATGCCACTTTACAACGTAACACCCACTATTTATGTTATGAGCCCATGTAATAGGGGGTGAGCCTATTGTCATATACCGGGTACATTTCCAGACTCTGTGCTACTACTGAGATTTTTAAAAACCCAGTAATACTTTGCCCATCTCGGGAATCGAACCCAAGACCCCTTGCCCGGCAGTCGCACTTGCGACCACTCGGCCAACGAGGTACTCTCTCTCTCTCTACTCTACTACCTACTACCTTTTACCTTAACTATGTTGCTATTGTTGATCGAAGTTAACTTTCAAACAAAATGATACTTAAGTAAAACATGATAACGATCAAACAAATGCAATATCTGGAAACAGTTTTCATAAATAACTGCCGAATTGTTTGTCTGACTACAAAGGTGAATAACAAAGCAAACAACATTCGCAGTTGTTTTGTTTTGCACTCTGAATTCACAGAATAATATCTGAAGAGCTCCGAAAGAATTCCAGTGAAAAACAAATTAAAAGATCTTCAAATATGCATGCTGGCAAAGGCTCCGGTGAATGCACTGTTTTTCGATTGTAGACTCAAATATTTTTTAATATTGGATGTGGCTTGCTGTTTCTGAAACCGAAATAAAACATCTGCACTGAAGGTTTTTGTTGAACAAAATAATGCAGTTACAATTTGCAATAAATTTTTCTATTTATTTATTTGTCTCTCTCTTCAAACAAACAGGATTCAACTAAAATATGAACTATAAAATGTGTCACAACTCCGAATAACCAAAGACATATTTCTGCTATTGAGTCATCATTATTTCCTGAGGGACGGGTTACAATTTTTTCGACGTCGTAAAGAACATACAAATAGCCAAGGGTCTGTCCCAACAACCCTATGGCTATATAACAGATCTATCCAAAGGACCTTTTAGCTTTATTGCCACAGAATGTGGTCGAAAAGTTGATGAGTCCACAATTTAATAAAACGTAAGCGATCTAGCCGAGGAACGATATCACTCCATTCGTAGAGATTGCGTTTCTTGATTGCAGTGCTTCATTACTTCCTATTTTTGAAGCCTTTTGTGTGGGATTCCTCAGGGGAATGCTCTTGGGCCAAGGTAGATTTTCAATAATATGCTTTTTCAAAATTATTGTTATTTTAAATTGGATTAAAGTAACATTATATTATTAGATTGAACTATGAGTTTAACTTTATTTCATTAGATAATTATTACATCTGATCTATGTAAAAACTGACATAAATAACTGTATATATTTAGTCTGAAATTTATCAATATTTTGTTTGTCAACAGGAAACTACAGAAGATGAGACAGAGAACATGTTTGACCACCGCTGGGGGGTACCAAGAGTGTCACGGCGAGTACTTAGTGGCCAATGGAACGAACTATACTGACATCTACTACTTCAACAATACATTCGAAAATATTCTCACCGTTAATGGCGGTTTGGTGAGTTTTCATTTTACAGATAATTTAACTGTGTTAGGTACAGAGTTAAATTTTTAGGAGGGACTTATTAGAGTGAAAAAATTAAAGCGTATTTGAGGTACCTAGTTTTATAGGGACTAGTCTTATATAATAAAACATGAAGTCTTAAAAAACTACCATAATTAATTTATGCTTGGAATTTAACTACACAGTCGATCATCCAATTAGATTGCGCATTCATTTTATTAGTTTACCTTTGAAAAGAATTAATTCATAACTACCATTTCTTCCGTCTGTTCTTTCGATTTAATTTGCGAACTCATTAATTATCTTTGTTTGGTCTCTATTATATGAAAAATTGAGAAAATATTATAGCAACTCCTAGTGGATTGGAAGTAAGAAGTGTTTTAGCTCAGGCACTGAACTAGTACAAGCCACTAATGACCGAAGTTTGCTGTTTCGTTACTGAGTTGGAAATAACTTGACTGCGAGAGAATGTTCATCGGATTTACCTACATTTTGTAAGAATAGAATTTTAAAAACTTTCATATTTAATGATCTTAATTAGTACTTAGATACTGATAAGATTGGAGCAAGTTCATGGAATTTTTTTAAAATTACGTACTTTTAACTTAATTAAAGACTATGTTATACCATTTTATATTCAAAAGGCGTAGATTTACGCCTACCCGTACTACACTTAGTTTTTGATTAATTTGGTCTACCATTTGAAAAAGAAACTGATGATATTTTTTTTTGAATTCTACGTCTTCTTTATTGAAAAGTAGTAAAATTTTTGCTCTGATACTTGCCTTACTACATTAGAAATTTTCAGAACAATTCTTGTCCAAAAAGTAATTAAAACTTGAACTTTTATTAGGAAAGGGAGCCGATACTTTAATTGTTATTCTTACACAGCCTTTGTTCATTGGATAAAAATGGCTAAGCCGGTATCAATCTCCTTTAGTCCATTCACTAAGTTTAATTGCACTAATATCGGTCCCAGTAGATAAGAAACTCCTACTGTTAATGAATAGGCAGCTGTCTTATTGTGTTTTATTGAATGGAGCAAACAATGAAAAGGATGATACGGAAAAAGTTTTTTTCATTTTTGATGAGTCTATCAGAAGTACGAAATCTAACAGTTTCTTTAATTGCACTTAGATTTAGTGGTTCTAACTAACTACTTTTTTATAGTAGTTGGAATACTATTACAATACTAGACAACATGGTTAGTATGGTGACTGTGCAACCGGCTTCCACCCAACGTGTCGCGGTTTCCCGCACGGAGCATCTTTTTGTGTGATCCACAAAATGTTGTTCCGGGTCTGGGTGTCCTGTGGATGTGAAATTGTATATATTTGTAAACGCACCTACGACACAGGAGAAAATTCTAGTGTGGGGCAACGTTTTTTAAAACAAGAACTAGGCTTTATTTTACACCTAGAATAAGTACAAAATTACTTTGTTTTTGCACATGAATATCAACATCGAATAACAAAAGATGATAAAATATCACCATACCCTTAATTTGATAGAACTTAACGGGTACCGGGGCTCCGGCTCGAAGCGCAGGAGAAGGTACGAGGTGGTTTTTAGTCAGTAAGAGTCTGACACTCCCTCTCGCCTCACCTAGGCGGGAGCAGTCATTCGATGATTTCCCCCCTTAAAAAAGCCCATTCGTATAAAAATTAATCCAGATGGTTCAAAACATTTTACCCATAAAACTAGAATTACAATCGTCATCTTCGTCTTGGTGTAGACCGGCTGTGAATTAAGCAACTAACACACAGAGCCCTTGAAAAACCAGTATTCTATTTCTGCGAACCTCTTTTAAAATAGAAGGGGTAACAAAGGTGGGACCCACTGTTTAACGGTGCAGACAGTTAATCGATTGTACATTATCGACGTAGCTATTGTGTCACGGCCGTGTGTCGGAATGTTTGCATGAGCATTGGTGCATGGAGTACAATAGATAATGTGTTCTTTTAACCAGCTCATTTACCCTACTGATAGTGTGAAATAGTCATCGTCAACTGCGTATGATAATCTACCGCTTGGCTATGCGTCTCCTCTATAAAACAAGGATTTGACATAATCACGATACATAACAGGGATTTGACGTAATCTCTATTGTTTATATTTATACTTTTGTGATACATACTAAATTAATTATTACGGTTTCGGCCTACTCTCGTAACAGTTTGACGAGGAAATCGACCTTTAAAGTCATGCTAGAGGCATATGAGTAGAAGAGCGACAGTCGCCGCGCGTGTCGCGGAATGCTGCTCATGAATAGGAGCCTGTAGCATAGCTTGAAACTAGTCAAGTTCCTCGTCAAACAGTTAAGTGAGTAAGCCGAAAACATAATAATTTATCTCGATTTTATCACGGACATTGAAGAAAATAAAACCTAACTCTATGAATAGCTTACTATTTGTACTTTATTTCCTGCGTTCACTAACCTATAAGTTACACCTAACAGTACAAGTGAGGGGTTACTTTAGTGGTGGTAGCAACCTCACACTAAGTAACGTTTAGTTGTACTTTTTAGTTAAGTGTGGGAGAGCTATGCTTCGGCACGAATGGGCCGGCTCGACCGGAGTGATACCACGGCCTCACAGAAAACCGACGTGAAACAACGCTTATGTTGTGTTTCGTCGTGTGAGTGAGGTTACCGGAAGCCCAATTACCCTTCCCTTCCCCAATCTCTCCAATTCCTGAGTCCCCAACGATCCTCAAACTCCTAATCCCCAAAAGGCTTGTAACGCATTTGTAACGCCTCTGGTGTTCCAGGTGTCCATGGGCGACGCCGATTGCTTACCATCAGGTGATCCGTTTGCTCGTTTACCGGCTTATGCCATAAAAGAAAGGAATAGTGAGTGAAAACGGCCATAAGTTATTATAACATAAAATTCACTTAGTTTAAAAATATATCACTAATTCATTAAAACTAAAACAATCAGTTTGAATATCTAAAAGCTTATTAATAATCAAACTTGTTTCTAGTCACCATTTGGTTTGTCGACCGAACTTTACAAAGATCATTACAAATTTGAGAGCCGTGTATAATTTGGAGGGATTTTAGTTAGGCTTTTATAGACATTATATCCCTACCGTAATAAATCCTAATAGCAATATCTAAAATTGGAATTAATCTCTTATCCTATAATAGGAACTACTCATATCGATATTTAGATATACATGATATATCTACATCATAATGTTACGATATGTTAATAAAAGGTGGATATGTTAAAGCCAGGATTGAGATAATATTTATATATGGAGCGAACCTATAGCTAAATGAACGATTTCAAATAATATTACCCTGAATTTATATTCCACACGTATTATGAATTAGGTTGAATGTCCTGCTATTCAATGTCCATGGACGGCACTAGCTACTTACTCATAAGGTGATAGCTTCTCTGGAATCGCATTAAATAGAAATGATTCAATAAAAAAACATAACATAACATCATGCCTTTTTTCTCGAAGGGGTAGGCAGAAGTATACATTATGCCACTGTACAATGTTACACCCACTTTTCACTATTTATGTTATAAGTCCCATGTAATAGGGGGTGGCCTATTGCCATATCCTTACTAATATTATAAATCGGAAAGTGAGTTTGTTTGTTTGTTTGTTCCGCTTTCACGCCATAACTACTAAACCGATTGCTTTGAATTTTTGCAGATGTATAGTTAGAAGTCCAGATTAAATAATAGGGTACTTTTTATCCCGGAAAATTTGATATTCCCGAGGGAAAACAAAAGTATTGGTATAGATGGCGCTGTGTGTATTGGTAATTATGTCACATTGGCTCTTTATTCTTTTGTGACGCGCACGAAGCCGCGGGTAAAAGCTAGTACCAAATATTCAATAAAAAACTGGATACCAATTCGTTATGATAATCATGTGCAAAAAGAAGAAATCTCTTTCATGTCGTCTAAAATATGTTGTTACACGTAATATTCATTTAAATCTGATTGTGCACTTTGAGTAATCACTTTAACAACTTTGATCATTTCAACAATACTGTATTGGCAATCAGTAATAATTATAATTGTTGGTCGTCATTGTGAGAACAATATTCGTTCGGCTAATTAGTATCGATTACGTTTTCAACAATGCATATTTTCACTACTACCTTAATAAAGGTGTATTGAGTGAGTTGAATGAGTTAATCACTAAAGCTGTTTAATTACACACATTTATTTTAAGTTTAAACTGTCACAACGATAGAAAGCCTTAGTAACTAACATATTTATAACATAACTTTTTTTTTAAGGGGGGAAAATCATCGAATGACTGCTCCCGCCTGGGTGAGGCGGGAGGGAGTGTCAGACTCTTACTGACTAAAAACCACCCCGTTCCTTCTCCTGCACGTCGAGTCGGAGACCCGGTTACCCGTTAGGTTCTCCGCGACATTTATAACTTATAACATAACTAGCTTCTGCCCGTGACATCGTAACGCGCAATCAATCCCATTCCCGTAGGATTTTCAGGTTTTTACTGTCTTAAACTATCAAACACCGTGAGGACACCGGTGACCGCAACCTATTGTTCTTTAATTGTGTCTATAATGACGGCACTCAAAGGGTTAAGAACTTTGTCCTAGTAATAATAAAAAAATAATGAAATAATAAGTAATATAATACATACAAAATGCAATCATTACACACAACGAAAAATGGTCATAGATTGTTTATTACAATGGTCATAGATGTGTCACTGCAATTTCAATGAGCCAAAATTTAGGTTACAAAATCAATAACTATTCATATGAGCTAGGTACCCATTGGCTCAATTTATATTAATACGTATAATAAAAGAAATACACATACTTATCAAACCAACTGTTGAATGTAATGTAATTAGTGCATTATCATTAAATCTAACACCAACTTTCAAATACCTAACCATTGGTTTTTATTTATTTAGCAACCAGTCTTGCCGCCTTTCCCATTGTGGTTGGCGGCCATCTTTGCAACGTGCCTCGTGCTGGTCATCCTTCTGACAGTCAGCGGTAATGTGCTGGTACTACTCGCCTTCCTGGTCGACAGGACCATCCGTCAGCCCAGTAATTACTTCATCGCCTCGCTAGCTGCCACCGATCTGTTAATTGGTAAGATAATAACAATTATGAATATTTTTGACAATTTACATGTTTATAATATATTTATATAACTCGTAGAAACGAGAGAAAGCAACATTCATTATTTTTTGTTCATTTTGATTCATTGACACTACATTTGAATAAGATCTTTACTGTACATTAATTATTCACCATACGTTGGAACTGCGACATTGTTTTTAAAATAATCATGTCTCGTTTAACTTTAACAATTTCGTATATCGTTTCTAGATCAAATCTGAGAATTATAATAACAGAGACATGAGGAAAATTTTATGTTTCAAAAAAAAACGTTATTTGGCGACATAATTAAATTACAAAGTTAAAGTCATCAATCCTTTATTGAATTCCCAAACGTCCGATGTTTGTGGAAATTTCCGTAATCTACTCATATTGTAGTAGATACAGTAATTTGTTTGCTGTTGGTTTCAATTTAAATGATATATGAATGGATAACACACATAACTTTATTTAGAACCAAATTGAAATACTAAAGGATATTCGTGGTCACAATAACCTATCAGTACCTACGAATTATCCCAACTCAAAGTATTTTCTTTTCACTCGGCGGCGAAAAAACTAACATTTTGTTAAAAGAAATCAGAAATATTTAGAGAAGCTTAATTAACTCCGAAAATATTTCAACTTCTATAAATATTTGAAGATAAGTTTGAAAGGAAAAACTTCTATAACGGTAAATTAATTCCTCATGAAAATACACTTAACTGTTTATTAAAATAGAACCTGTCTCTGTTATCAAACTAAATTGAATTAACCATTTATTCGATTAATTATTTTCTGTTTACTTTAAGAAACTTTTAACTGGAACATTGTTACAAGCTTTTGATAAATTAATTCTGACTAAAAGGTATTTCCGAATTTGAGAAGTTTCACCCTTGACATTTGAATGTCTAATAATGAAGAAAATATTTAATAGAACTTTATTTTCTTTGTCCACAGGTACTTTATCACTTCCATTCTACACTGACTACGTTCTAAAGGGCTACTGGCATTTAGGGCCCCTATTATGTGACCTTTGGTTGTCAGTCGACTACACCGTATGTCTCGTCTCTCAATACACAGTTCTACTTATAACTGTAGATAGATTCTGCAGCGTGAAAATAGCAGCGCGGTATAGAGCCTGGCGAACGAAAAATAGAGTTATCTGGATGGTAACCGTAACATGGATCATCCCAGCTTTACTATTCTTTACGACAATATTCGGATGGGAACATTTTGTTGGATACAGAGATTTACAAGAAGGCGAATGTGCCGTACAGTTTTTAAAAGACCCGATATTCAATACAGCTTTAATCATAGGCTATTATTGGACTACGCTGTTCGTTTTGATTGTACTTTATGCTGGAATTTTTAAAACAGCGTACGATATGCAAAAGAAGAGTGAAGCAAAACAAAGAAAGATGCAGTCCATGGTTGCACTAAGTGCTGGAGTTATGACAGGAATGGCTGGTCGAGCTGCCGGCATGGCAGCCTTATCAAAAGCTACTATATCCAGTGAGGATCAAATGAAAGTATCTGAGGCGATGCGGAAAGACTCCACGTCAAAAGGGTCTCTAGCAGCTCCGTTGCTTAATCTTGGTGGATCCAGTGACTCCAATTCAAGCCAGAAGTCTTCAGCTCACAAAAGTAGTGCTACTGTAACTGGTACTTCTACTACAGCTGAATCTGATGGAGATAAGAAAGAAGATCAGGTAGAAGCAGAAAGATCAAGCAGTCCGGCTTTTGATTCAGATGAAGAAAGTACTACACAAACAAATGTCAAGAAACGGCCGTCAGTGGCAAACTTAGTGATGCAAACAGGTGCTATTCAACTTTTGAATAACATGCGTCTCAACGGCGGTATGATGCTCAAAACTGATATGAAACAGTCACCGATACTGAAACATGAGCTTGAGAAGCCAAAATCATCCTTATCACAGATATCAGAGAAGAGTTTGCTTGACACTGACAACCCTGATACATCGCAGGGCACCGACAATATTCCTATACCAAATGTGCCATTGTCTACCGCTAGTCTTATGTCTCCGTTATCTTCTGGTATAACAACACCGTCCGAACAAAGAGAAGTATCGACCACAATTGCTCAAAGAATCATTCCACCCCCAACAGAATTCAGGTGTAGTCCTCCAGTTTCTGAAAGCCCTCCATCACATTCAGAATCATCTCGCACTAGGACTGTAAGACTTATGAAAGGTGATGGTACGTCGTACGACATGCTTGTAGGTATGGATGGAGCAGACTTGAGATACATGGATGAGAGTTCTGTGAATGTACCGTCACCCACATACGAGAGCCCACCCTCGTCTGTCACATTCCCCACCGCGACTGCGACTGAACCATCATCTCCACCTACATTAAATTCAGGTAACGAAACTAACAAGTCTTTATTACAAGCAGCCCTAATACGAGCGACCGCAGAAGCTCAAGTAACGCAGCCTAAAACGAATTTCTCCCCGCCTCCTCCAATCAAAGTGAATACCGAGGTGAGTTTAACTACAGGGGAACGTTCCAAGCCTGTCATTACTCTTGTATCGTCGTCTTCCAACAACAATGAACCTCAACCCCCAAAGCCGGTTGAGGCAAAAATGTCTCCATTGAAACTCAATCCCGCAATAAGTCCAGCGGTCGAAAATAGTGATATATCAAGTACCGTGGTAACTGGGTCAGGCCGCGGCGACTCCAAGAAAGAGTTTGTAAAAAACATAGGAAAAAAATTAAAAGTTAAACGTTCAAAGCGAGACGGTCTGTTTCCGAGCATTGGTCGGCAGAAATCGAAATCGGAAAACCGAGCGAGGAAAGCTTTTAGAACTATATCGTTCATATTAGGCGCGTTTGTCGTTTGTTGGACTCCATATCACATACTGGCACTAGTGGAGGGTTTCTGCACAGACCCGCCGTGCATTAATAAACATCTGTACATGTTCTCGTACTTCCTGTGCTACGCGAACAGTCCTATAAACCCGTTCTGCTACGCGCTCGCCAACCAGCAGTTCAAGAAGACTTTCACGAGACTCCTCCGGGGGGACTTCCACATCACCTAGTCCATGTATGTCGGTCACCGACACGCGTAAACCGGAGAAACTGACCGAATATCCGATGCAAATGTTTTACGCACAACTTTCATTGAAAGATGATTATATTAATAAGACAATACCAAATTTATGACTTTGTTGGAAGCTTTCATTGTATAGACATGGGGTCGTGTAGCGTATGTGTACTAAATGTATAGTGGTTTCAGCTTTATAAAAGCAAATCTTTATTAAATGTAAATAGTAATAGATAATACGTATATTTTTAATTTTATTTCTTCAAATGTTCAGAACTGACAATAAATTGTTAGATCGTGTATATAATGGTGAATTTAAAGTCTCTTCGTATTTCTAATTAATGTCATAGTTAATTACTATAATGCTAGTTTAGTGTGATAGAGGCTTCAAGTAATGTCGAAGACATTGTGGTAATATAAATGTTTTAGATATAATATATATGAATACTTATTGTTTGATGATAATAAATTAATACCACAATAGTATTGTGTGTGACAATGAGTTGGTATTTAGCTTAATGTTAGATTATAATTAAAGTAATTTATTAGTATAAAAATAACAATAATTTTGAATAAATTATTCGTGTTAATGTGGTAAATGAATAACAAAATGAAACAAAATATTCTGATATGATAACAGAACAAGACTAACTCACTCATGGTCACATACTCAAATGAGATTACGCTTCGAAGCTTTTAGCCTTGAGCCCAGCTAAAGTTTTCTAGCGTTTGAAATAGTCAATTAAAATAATATTTGTATAGAAATAACACTAAAATGCGGGCCTAAACCGTTTTAGGTATTAAAGAAATAGTATATCCGTTATATCTGTCATAATTTTATTATGTAAACTGGATTATTAGTACATAGTTATTTTGAGAAATAAGTTTGAGAGAAAATGCTTCAGATTTTGAGTAGATTATTTTTAATTATTATTAATACAAGAAATATATACACAGATAAGTTATTGTACCTAGATTTTCAATTCCTTTCGACTGATATTTTTATAATACTCATAGTGTAAATACATATCAGATAGTGTCATTTGTAAAAGCGAAACTTGAAGCATTTTCAAATAGATTTTTTTTATAGAACCGAATAATTTTTATGGATGTATAGTCGCTTTAAATAATCTGTATATTAAAAAGTATCGTTTGTGAGTATTTAATAAGTTATTGCAGAATAAAAATGAAAGACAAAAGTGAAATAAATTAGTTGGTAAATATTAAAAAAATAATAAAGAAAATAGTATTATTATAGCCAGTACAAGTGATCTGTTTTTCAAATGCATTTATAGAAATTATTAATATTAATGTGTATCATGCCCCGATTATTATAATATTAGATGTCATATACTACCTATAGAAAGTATTTTTCTGTAGAAAAATAACAATTATACATTATCTACATTATTTTTTACGGATTGAGTCAAAAATAAATATCATTTTTATTGGTGACCCGTGATTGTCAAATATTTTCTTTTTATCATTTTATTGTTATTTGTTAATATTAAATGTTTTATTATTAGATTTTCTTTTTAAATGTTGAATTAACTCGTCGAGCACCGTCATTATAGACACAATCAAAGAACAACAGGTTGCGGTCACCGGTGACCGCTTGGTGTTTGACAGTTTAATTAATGATATAAATTATTTATTCTAGTCAAGTTTATACCTGTTAATCTTAAGCGGTTTATACCAAAGAAACTCATTGTTGTCATCGTATTAATAATAGTAAATGTAAATAATAATAAATAGTCATAATATTTATTATAAATGGTCATGGGCAGTATTGTGTTTAGTGATATAATATTAATCTAGTGTTCTCGCCTTAGAACAGTGTCAATAACTACTATATAAAATTGTAAATATGCTTTGTATACTGTCTGGTCATTTTATGTCGGAAAATGAGAATTATAAATAAAAATAGTAATTTCATTCATGTATTTCATTTAAATTCAGTGTAAGCAAAACAATAATTTTGTAATCGTTTTAGTCATTCTATATCGGAGTCGCGGAGAACTTAACGGGTTGCCAGAGCTCTGGCTCGAAGTGCAGGAGTAGGAACGGGGTGGTTTTTAGTCAGTAAGAGTCTGACACTCCCTCTCGTCTCACCCAGGCGGGAAAAGTCATTCGATGATTTTCCCCCCTTAAAAAAAATAATTCTATACAATAATTATTGCCTCGCTTTAATCGTCGATTATTTATTTCGTAATAATTTCCAAAAACGGTCACATTATTACGTTATGTCAAAGAAAACAAAATAGAACCGAAAACGAATGTCAAAAAATAATACCCTTCCTTGGGTCGGATAAAAAGACTTCTTTAAGATATAAAGAAAATCATTACAGCTTACCACTAGGCGAGATAATGGACAATGAAATATAAAAAATACACATAATATTCAAAAAAATAAAATACATTAAAACACACGGCTTCAAAAAACAACGTATGATATGCTATCTCAATAACCACAGTTATTGTACCGCAAATGTCATAAAACTCAGTATCACAAACCCATGTGTAAACCCTATGATAGTAAAATATTGCAATGAAATGGAGCTCGATTGTCGAAAGCTCGTCGCAAATCCCCGTTTAGCTCTATAGCTTTTTAAAACGTTTACAATGTGATCGAAATTGCAATACTGTCCAATTGGATTTGGGATTTATGCTATATGCAATGAAAATTCGACTTTCGTGTGTCTCTATTGATTCGATTTTCCAGTGTTTGAATTAAAATCATAGCCTGTATAATGTTCTGCCTCTGCTCTCGCCTGCTTTGACTGCCTCGCTCGCCGAGTGGTCGCAAGTGCGACTGCCAGATGGGGTCGGAAGGGGTCTCGGGTTCGATTCTCGGGTCGGGCAAAGTATTACTGGGTTTTTAAAAAAAACACGTGGAAGCACGGAGTCTAGAATTCTGTCCGGTATGTAGCAATAGGCTCACCCCCTATTACATGGGACTCATAACATATAATAGTGAACAGTGGGTGTCACATGGTACAGTGCCATTAAGTACCATAACCTACCCCTTTAGTCTATGCCAGTATAATATATTATAGATATCTTTTCGGTAGTTTTTTTTGGCAAGTAAACAAAATTCACCAATTTTTCGTTTATCATCTTACCAACGCCTTTCCTTATAATAACTTGTCAAGTCTAAGAGGAAATATATAATCAATTCTATCAAAAAATCCATCAACATAATCATATTTTATTATTACTTCGAATCACTGTAATCTAATGACTTCCCCATCTCCTCGTGTTTTGGTGAAATTCAGAATTTTCATTACCTATTTATTAGGCGAAACTTGATTTTATTTGACATGGCGCTGGAGACCTGCCTACAAGAACATGATTTCATTTCTTCATCAAATGAATTATTTTTGTTGACCTTTAGATGTTTTGAGTTGTCGTATTTGGTTGATTAAATGCTTGAAATTAATCAAAGTGTAATATCGAGTTAAACTTAAATTTTAATTCTGCCTAAAGTATCTAAAAATTCTCTCAAAACTAAATTGACTCTTACTAAAAGAATGATTTTTTTCTGTCTATTTTTACACACCCAAAGTGAGGTACAACTTTCACTGGTTTTTTAATTATATTTGCATAATTTGCTATGATTGTATAAGGGAATAAAATGTACGACAACCGTCGAAAAAATAAGCAGACAAATCGATCTTAGCAACTGTCACGAAGCCAGCAAGTAAGACAATCCTCTGATAAGCAAACAAAATAACAAAAATCCACAAGCAACCGAAAAGAACTCAACGTGGAAAGATTATCAGTGACCCTGATCCAATTACAAAACAACCGAACAAGTAATCAGTGAAAACAAATGAACGAATGAAAAAGAAACGTATAAAATTGGTATAATTTGTCTAGGAAGGTGACAGTGTCGTGACAAACACCATTATTCTGAAGACGAAAATAAACGAAGGCCTAATCCTGAGGTCAGATTCATTTTCACGACAACTAGGTTGGATAAAAAGCTCATTTGCCGGCACGTAGAGACGTCTACCCTTGATTGGTGAGAATGGTGAGCCCTCAAATTGTATTGGCTATTTAGACCTTTCACATAATAGTTTTGGGGTTATGATAAAAGTATAGTACCCAGTTGATAATGTTGTGATGGAAAGTCAAGGTAGTTTGATGTTATCTATGTAATTTGAAGTTTAAAATAGTTACAACATTATAATGCTCTTATATACCTACCGATGGAAAAAGACAAAGTGTTCAGGTTATTAGTAAGGTATTATCTATTATATATGTACAAAATAGATCGGGCTGGATAGATAACGAGATGAAGAATGCAGGAAGTCGCTGGATGCATGTCTCTCTCAACTAGTCGATCTGGAAATCTTTAGGGAAAGCCAATGTTCAGCAGTGGGCGTCTTGATGGCTAATATGATGATGATGATACCATAACAGTCTCAATTCTATCTTGTTTGGATAAAAATCTGTCATTTACTTAGTCACCAGTCGCGCGAGAACGCTGACCACTAACTAACATTGAAGTAATACTATTTATCGAATAATTTTAATGAACAATAGGAATTTTCCTGCTACCGTAGGTTTACATAGCTCCTTCACATTCATTACAAAAATTCTTCGCAGTTACCACAAAATATCGTGTTACGGTAACTACTGATTACTTAGCCATTACGTGCCGTGCCGTTAATTTAGATTCAGGATTTTTTATGTTAACTGTAGAAAATCTATGCCTAGTTGTAAATTTATAAATAACCCTAAATAACTATAATTACTAACTAATTCGTTGGCTTAATTGCTTGATTTTTTTAAGGTATTAGCCGGTAAACGAGCAGACAGATCACATGATGGTAAGCAATCGGCACCGCCCATGGACATCTGAAACACCAAGGCGTTACAAGTGCGTTACCAGCCTATTAGGAATTGAAAATTTTAGGATTGTGGAGGTTTCGGGGATTGGAGAGACTGGAGGGGCGGTAATGGGCCTCCGGTAACCTCACTCAAACGACGAAACACAACGCCTGCGTTGTTTTACGTCGGTTTACTGTGAGGCCGTGGTATCACTCCCGTCGAGCCGGCCCAAGCATGGCTCTCCCACGCTTATCTTAAATTACGAGTGAAAAAAGATAAAAAAATAATTCGTCTATTTATACTTAGGTCATGAATTCTAAATTAAAATTCTCAATTAAGATATCCATACTATCGCCACTAAGATAATGGTTGTAGGTTTTTCTATTTCGTAGAAGTTTTAAAGTAAGTGCTAAAGAACAATTAATTATCTACTTCATACTTGTGCAAAAATGCACCTTTACCTAACCTTATAGAGTAATATAATTGCTGTCATTAAAATCTCTTTCACAATCAAAAAAACGAACCAAACAGACCCCTTTTAAAAGACAGTTTTCAGAATTTATAAAAAAAATAAATTAT